ACAGTCGTAGCAGGCGGTAATGGTGCAGGCAATTCAAATAACCAGTTAAATCAACCATTCAGTGTATATTATGATTCAGTATCAAATTATTTGTATATAACAAATACTGGCGGTCAAGCAGTAATCAGATGGAGTCCAGGTGCAGCGAGCGGTATGTTTGTAGCAGGTACAGTCGGTGTAAGTGGCTCGGGTTCCACAAATCTAAATGGACCGACTCATTTAACAGTAGATACATACGGAAATTTGTACGTATCGGACTACTCGAATAGTAGAATCCAAATGTTTTGCAGGTATAATTCAAGCGGTATAACGATCGCTGGTAATGGAACCGCAGGATCGTATAGCACCCAAATAAATGGTCCAAGAGGATTTGCATTCGACTCGCAAATGAATCTGTACGTTAGTGATATGAATAATAATCGGGTACAAAAGTTCATGAAACTCTAAGGAAAACAAAGGAATTTACATAAGCTCTCCTCTCCGAAATAGCGGCTTTATGAACGATTTTGCAATATGCGAATTCTTATCAAAATTGTTCTCTGTCTGGATAATTTTATCAGCAGAAATTTTCAGCTATACAACGGTTTGTTTAAAAGCTTTTTTTGTTTTTTTACTTAAGACACTCTAACTAGATGAAATTATTAGAAATCATCACTTCGCCAAATAAAGAATGCTGCGCCAGAAAATGTTCTTTTCTACCACTATACACCATTCTATCATATTTGTTATGTTTGCATTCATGATCCTTCGATTGAAATTCGTTATGTACATGCCACAGTGGGAAATCACGTAGACATTTGGCGAAAAATCGAAACTGTACTTTTTTAAAATTCAGATAATGGTAAATATACTACGATAAAGAGGCTGTTTAATAGTGTACCCGTGTTTGGTAATTTTAACGACAAGAGTTTTAATTATGAAGAAGTAAGTATTGAATTAATAATTTACTTTAAAACTGTATCACTAAAAAAGAGACTAAATACTAGCGCCCTCTGAGAAAAAGCATTCTTTTTAAAGGATGAAATCGATTTGAATTTAACGTTGTTACATATTTAGAATCTAACACTTCCAGCTATCTATCCATAAAAAAGGTATTCATCTAAACGTAATGATATAAAAGAAAAAGATTATTTTCCGAACAGATGGTATTTTCGAAAAAGACACTGCACTACAATTATTTTCCAATAGTCTAATCTGAGTCAGATCACATCAGAATGTTCCTCAGCATGTCCTGCATCTATGCGGAGTGCACAAAAATGCACAATATTTGTCAAAGTCGAGTTATAGGCTTGTATTTTTCTCTGAGCTCGTCGAGCTAAACAAGAATATGCGTGTTTTAACCTTTCGAATTAAAATTTTAATGTCGAAAATTTAGAAAAACTGAACATTTTAAAATTTTAAAAACGGCTTATTTTTTAAAAACGAACGTAAAATTCGAACACAATGTGTTTGAGAACCTTGGAAGTTTGTTATTCTTGTTCTCCTTTAAACCCTGAATCTGAAAAATAGTATATCGATACTATTAAAGTATGACATAATCTAAAACATTTTAGTTTTTCACCAATAGCCAAAATCTCGTTCATGTTGGCGCAAAAAGCATCAAGTCTCTCTAGATGGAAGATGAAGCTGATATTTTTATACGTTTTTACGTGTGCGATCGGGTCGATCAAGGAAAGTTTGCTACATGGTCAACAGGAAATAGTAGATTGTGAAAGCGTAAGCTGGAAATGATTATTCATACTCTATAGCCGTCAAGCTAAAGTGAGATAACGATTTCATTTTTTCGAAAAAATCTGAGTAGAAAAGTTCGCAAAAAAAAAGGATAGTTGTGTACAAATCCTGAAACACACATCAATCAATTCAATTTTTGCTCATTTCAAGTATGACATTAGTTTTGCAAAAAATGGTAGTTTGACGATGAAAACTGCAAAATGCAAGTGAATTTCCTTGTTTTTTGCTACCTGTTCCAAAAAAATTAATTTGCTAAACAATGGAACAATATTTTCTAAAATCGACACGTAACTTTTTTTTGTGCTATTATAGCGATTAGAATGATATTAAAATATCAGCTTCATCTTCCATCTAGAGAGACTTGATGCTTTTTGCGCCAACATGAACGAGATTTTGGCTATTGGTGAAAAACTAAAATGTTTTAGATTATGTCATACTTTAATAGTATCGATATACTATTTTTCAGATTCAGGTTTTAACGGAAAACAAGAATAACAAACTTCCAAGGTTCTCAAACACATTGTGTTCGAATTTTACGTTCGTTTTTAAAAAATAAGCCGTTTTTAAAATTTTAAAGTGTTCAGTTTTTTTAAATTTTCGACATTAAAATTTTAATTCGAAAGGTTAAAACACGCACATTCTTGTTTAGCTCGACGAGCTCTATCCAACCATGTGTAAATATTGCAAAAATAAATTTTGCTTAAGTTTTGAATTGCGAGCACCTTATCTACACATCGGCATAACCTATTGTTTGTAGAAAAAATGAACTATAAATCTGTTCAAGAACGATTGTAGACAGTTTATATTTGAAGAACTTTAATAAGTTAATTATTTTATGACACTTAGTAATAATATATTTTATGTAAACTTGCTAACTTAATTGTTGTAAAATTACAACGCATAAACTTTTATGCTCCGAAACGAAATCTAGATGTGCTGTATCAATTGAAACAGGAGCAACAGGCAAATTAGAGGATTTCTGTGAGAATAGCATACAGGAGCATTTATCAATATTTAGAGGCAGTTGCCATTCCACCGACCAATCCCATGCTTTTTTCAGATCATTGTTCATATCCACTATTAGTTTCGTCCGGTCCTGATTGCAATGAGACGTTGTTGTATCATCAGCAAACTTTCTGATGATACATTCCATATCTGAACCAAAATCGTCAACGTAGGCTAAAAACAAGATAGAACCCAGAACAGCCCCATATGAAACAGCGCGATTTATATTTCTAGGCCTAGAGCTCTTCCCACTAACGATAGTCACAATTGATCCTCCAGTGAGATAACTTTGGAACCAATTTTACAGATTTCTCCTAACTCCTTGTTTTTCTAACTTCTGTAAAAGTGCTTTGATCTACACATTGTCAAAAGCTTTACTAAAATCAAGAAAAACTGCCAGCGTATCCTTGCTGTCTTTAACGTCTTTGCCGTTCTCAAGATCTTTATGTATACCCCTTTACCCCCCTTGGTCACTGGAGTGACTATTTGTAGATCGATGGCAAAAAATTAAGAAAGCATGGAATTTAAAAACTTTGGGAAGATGTCTTGTAGCAAACTCTATAAGCTATCGATTGGTAAAAGAAATATTTTGTTACATTGTATTCACTTTGTATTCAATTTGTTTGAATGACTTGAAAAAGTCCCATTTTGGGCCTTCGTAAATTTGATATAGTTCGACCAAAAAATGTCGCAAAGAGTTCGGGACATCTCATTTTGTAGCGAATTGTTTGCTCTATCATTCTACGTAGTTTGAAAAAATTTTATTCGCAAGTTCAAGGTGCCGGAAAACCAAGGTTTGGGTTTCTAGAAAACTCTATTATTGGGAATCCAGTGATGATTTTTATTTTCGCAGATCCTAGTTAGCAACAATTTTCCCTACTCAAGCCACTATTTGAATTCTTTTTAGCGCTTATGGTTGCAGAAAAAATCGAAAATACACCCAGTTGATCAATTTTTGTAACCACTGTAGTTTTCCAGCACCTAGAACCTGCGAATAAACTACATAGAATGATAGAGCAAACAATTCTCTACAAAATGAGATGCCCCGAGCTCTCTACAACGTTTTTTGGTCGAACTATACAAAATTTACAAAAGGGGGTACTATGAATCAATTATATATTTTATTTATAGCGCTGTATAAAGCAGGTTGACCACTTAGGTCCTGACTGCTATTGTTAAAATTTCTTCACATAGTGATAATAAAATTTTGATTATCTATCAGATTAAAGAAAAAAAGGTTTGAAAGTTTTCGCACTTAATTCATTACGGGACTCATCTACATACAAAAATTTAACAGCTTATCAAAAAAAAGTTTCACAATCGTTGGAATAAAAGGTAACTAATCTCGCACTTGGTCTGCCTCTTGGGAGACTTTTAATAAAGGAGTTTTCACAAAAATGTCTGCGACACGCGGCTATGATATTTTTCTCTAGTAGCACATTTTCTAGAAATGACGAGGCATACAATTGAATGCTCTTTAACCTTTTTTGCAGACAAGTTTTAAATTTCTTTTCGAGCGTCGGTAGACCGAAAACTGAATGTAAGTCATCTGTAGAACAACGAAAGATACAAAAAATCATGCGGAGACAGCGTCTTTAGAATTGACTAATGCGGTTTTGACCAGCTTGTGAAAAAAGACAGTAGATAGAAGAAAGGAGATACATGTGTGGCCATATGTATGTATTGAAAAATTTCGTCTTTAACCGAAAAAAGGTAGGAAATTCTCTATGGATGTATTTTAAAATAGCATAAGATCGCCTCAGCTTAACAAACTGGATATCGAGCATGTATCTAAAGCATAACTTGGAATCCAGAAGGAAACCTAGATACTTAAAAAGTTTCGACTGCTTTAATAATACATTGTTAAAATAGATTTTTAATTTTGGACATTGCACTGTTTTGTAGTAGACCACTAGTTCCGTTTTCGGTATATTTACTGGTTGGTGCCACTCATCTGCATATTTCTTTAAACGCCGCATATCTTCATTGATGCGCTCCTCAATCTCTGTTACTTGGTGACGAAATTTCATAAATATATTTGGATAGTACACATTGCTCAAATCGTCGACATAGAGGTGTGAGTTATCTGGCTGTTGGAAAATATACGGCAGATCGCAGTTACTGACAATGTATAGCCTCGGGCCAAGACAATCCCCTTGCGGAGCTGTGTTAGGAGACACTTTTCCCATACATGAGCAAGAACCAAGTTTTCTGGAAATGATCAGTTTCAACCGTCATTCGCCTATGTGTTTGTTATGTTAGTTCTACTTTGTATCTATCTGTTATCTTTCGTT